TTCAACTTGGCGACCTCGGGCGCAATTTGGGCCGCTAAAAACGGCAGAAGGTTGCGGTGCGGCCGCGCGGGTCACAGGTCACACCCGGCTCTGCCATTCATTCTGGTCGCGCGAGGGCCGCGCGTCCGGCCCCGCCAACGAGCCCGCTCGGCACGTAACACAGGATGTCTACAATTACGGCCGCGGCGCGCTCCTCGGTTCCCACGGCCGGGCCGATTTCTCATATCGGCACGGCGGCGCACGCGGCCGCTGCTGCCATCTCCCGGCGGCGGCGCGAACCAGGTCGCCGTGGGAACGCCGTCGGCTGCACCATGAGAACGACAGGAGGCCGACGGCGCCACGGCTGCAGCGGCGACGTTGCACCGGCCGTCGCCACTCGAGCCGGCTGCAGTTTTGCTGCCGATCGGTCTGGATAAACAGCGAGGCGTTGCCGGCCGCGGCTGCAGGCCGGCTCAAGCACATCGTCAATGCGTCACGGCCAGTCTCAACCCGATCCTAGTCTCAGTCTCAGCAGCTAATGGCTCAGTAGCACCGTCGACCAGCGTCCGGCAAATAAACAGCTCCGGCGCCGACACCCGTCCCACACCATCCGACAGCCGACACGGCTAGTAACTCAGTGGGAAGGACGGTTCGTCTGCCTCTCAGCATTCCAGGCCGTGACGCAGCAGTTCCAGCGGGAAATGATGGCTAATTGGGATAGAGCCCGGCAGAGGCACGGCTACTGGCCGGATGGTGACGCGTGCCACAAGTGCTATGTATACTGAGTGGCACGTGTCACCCACGTAATGCACTGTGGAGTCGCGCGTGCCATATGTGCTTTACTATGGAGTGACACATAGCTGACAACACAGCCACAAACTCCAAAACCAACAGTGACGCGTGCCACACACATCGTCCACAATGGCGCGTGCCACCTATGCCTACTTCAGGTTAGAGGAATCTTGGCCTGAGCAGCCTTCACTGCACATTAGCTTAAAGTCCACGCAGCATGACTGCCAAGCCGGCTATTACGTCCGTGATCTACACATATTCCTCTGCTGAGCAATGCCAATCTGACAGTTCCACTGTCAGTCCATGAAAGACACAGCTCTCCTCTGCCGAGACAAATCATGGCAATGTCCACACGCTGCCTGTGATGTAAGTCGTGACGTCATTTCACGTGAGAACGCCGTGGAACAAAGCAGCGTCACATCTGAACCAGAAAAACAGCGAGCATCGTGCCTTTTGAAGAGCAGCACTCACACTCCCAGCGCTCCCAACATGGACTGAAACAGAGCGAAGGGCAGCGACCTCACAGCACCGCTACGTCCTCAATTCGCGCTCATCCACATAGAATGTCCGGAAACAGAGAGTCTAATAGAATTCCCAGTCTGTATATCATCTTCACTGACTGCAATGGCCGGATGTGATCAGAAATCGGCCCGGAATAGAGAGCGATCGGCACGACATTACCTATCGTTTGGCTATGTGCCGTCATTTACCTTATTTTCGGGTGGCAAGTATGATACATACTAAGTAACTGCCGGTGCGATGATCCTCGGCTGAGCACAATATAGTGTGAACACTCCACGCAGTTCGCCAAAAATAGTGAGAATGCTCCACGCAGTTCGCTAGAGGACGGTGAGTTTCGTGACAAGTTTTGCTGTTGTGCGGGATTTCCTAGTTCGTTCACACCACGCGTGACGATTGCCAGGTCTTTGGTTGAAAAATTCGGACTCTCGATCCAGCCACACACGACGTAAGCGGCTGTAACATAGTTTTGATGCTGGCAGACAAAATACGGGGCCGTCTTTTGAAACGTGCTACATGGATTTGATGAATCGGGTTTTTTTGGGCGCCCGGACTACAGTGGTCATCGGCGCTGCTACATGGATTTACCAGCATCATTGTTTATTTATATACCAATGGGTATTCGCCGAAAAGGAGAGTTGAACAGCGTACCTACAACCTCTCCAATGCCTACCAACCGTAATCAAATCAGTAGAACACCTACCCCTCATTGTTAATGAACCAAAAATCAATTCAAGCACCCATTATCGCCAATTATGAGCGTTAGTTGATGGTTCTGCCCCAGCGGCACTAATGTGACCATCCCGGCGGTTAAATCCTGCCTCTGTGCCGCTAATCAAGGACCGCACCGCGCCCCACCGACCCCTAAACGTTCCCCTACCTCACTCCTCGTGAATAGGTGGCAGCCGGTCGGCCGCGGCAATTCCAGCCGGCAACAATCACTCGGAACGGCCGTTTGGCAGAATTTAACGGCCGCATTCACCCGAACTGCCCTCAGACAGGAGAGCGGACCGCTCGCACACACACCGGGCCAATTCGACACGGACCGGCGCCCGCCGAGGGATGGGTAGCTCGCCACTGTTTTTGTACACCATTGCGTGCACGCATAAAACACCAGCCTTTGTGGGTAGATGCCGCGGAAGGAAGAGGATCCTCGCATGAAACGGGCGTTAAAAGTAATGCTCCGTGAGTGCGATCGATGGTGAACATTATGGACACTCCAGGAAATCATCAGTAAACCGTCAACCTAAAAGTCAATATCGAACCATATGAAGTGGAACAAAATTGACATTTTTAACGAGCTTCGTACCTCGTCACCCCATCATACGCCAGACAGCCGAGGCCGGAGCTGCCGGTATTCGATACGACACGCCCAATTCAACCACCAACCAACTGCTGGCGGCGCGATCCCCAACGTACCGTCATGTTCCCAGGCGGGTGGGCGGTTCACAGGACGATCAGCTGGTACGGCGACAGCGGGTCGCGTGGCGCTGGGTCTGGCGCGCAGCACTCCTGGCAGACAGCGTTCACACGGCGGCACACGAGACGCACAGAGACGGAGAGGCACGAGTGGGACACCGTCTCGGACAGCGCTGCACGGCCCGCGTCCGACCCAGCGTCCGGCAGTGACCACTCTGGCCGGTGGCCGCTCTCCCTCCCTCCTACCCTCCCATCAGGGCCGCCCGGGGGAGGGGAGCGGGCGCCCCCTACCGCCCGACAGGTGCGCGGGATACCTGTCATTAGGCTGCTCATCCACCGGCTTCCGATGAGACCCTCAGAGGGGTGCCTGACCCCGCGTCGCCCGCCCGGCCCGGCCGGAACAAACGGCCGGCCACCGCTCTACTTGTGCGCCGCCAAGGTCGGGGCGCCCCAAACTCCGCACCGCGGTGACGCCGGCTCGGCGGTCGGCGCTGGTCGCTCGTGACGCCGGCCGTCGCTGGTCTCGGATTAGCGCGGCCCGGTCAGAGCGGAGCGGCGCGTCCCGCTCGCTCCGGCCGCCTCACGACCTCCGGAAGTAGCTCCGGACGCGGCGGCGTGGGAACGGCCGTCCCAGTGCAGACCGGACGGCAAGGCCGCCGCCGCCGCCGCCGACTGGCCGGCCAGCTGTCACCGATCGCTCCGGACCGGCGGCGACGGGCGGCGGGTGTCAGAGGGCCGGGCGGGTCACCGGTCAGAATACCGACCCGTGTTAGACCTATCACACAGACCACTGAATAACAGATCGGCCATATGCTCCAGAAGATAGCCATCCTGAGACTAAAAGACGGCAGCAAGAGTGTTGAAACAGTCAAGAGCAAGGTCTTAGAAGAAGCAGAAACGCACCACTCCCGGTTTGTAAACTGGGTCCCATGCTGGATGTCTTGCTTCACCGGGTCAGTGCCACCATAAAATCAGATACCTGTCATGTAGAAAGTGTCGTGCACAAACTTATCGCGACTACAGCTAAAAATAGCGTATTCCCACACCTGTTGAAACAGCGCTGTTTGATCAGTAAAGCAAACAACGCTGAAAAGAGGGACTTTCTGAACAATCTAATTGGCAGACACAAATGAAAACTTCAATGTAATGACGATACCGTTAACAAAACAATTCTTCTGCAGCCTAGTCGTGGCTGACTCTCTGCCGAACCAGACGAACCCTCTCTGGAAGATACCATCGCCTGGTGTGCGCGGACCTCGGTGAAACGTCCCCGACTGAGATCGATGAAAAACGTCGCATCGTCCGTGACACCCCGCTCATCACATAGCCGGGTCGGCGGGCCTGACTGGCGAGCACAGCGGCCAATTACAATGGGCGCCCATCTGAGCGGCCGGCAAAAATGCACAGACGGCGCAGATTGTCGGCGGGGCGCGGTGTGACCGAGCTCTCAGCGTCCCCGAGGTGCAGAAAAGTGTCCACTCGTGACCAGTCGGCCGGCCGTCTGGCTAGGGCGGTCACAGGACTTGTGACTGGACCGGAGCGGTCACGGGACTGGCCACTGGGGCGGAGCAGTCACAGGACTGGCGACTGGGGCGGAGCAGTCACAGGACTGGCGACTGGACTGGGCTCTCCAGACCGACTGGAGGACCAGCCATATCGGTACAGAGGCTTACAATACACACACGCGGTTATGAAACATAAGGAGCCATACACGCACATAAGGAGTCTTAGGATTGAGAAGGCAGCAACTAAATACATGAACTAAAACAAGTCGATATGTTGGGAAATGGCAAGTACTACTGATGTTTGCTTCTTTACAAATGGCCATATGGTTCAGGGGGCGCCTCAACAATGACACCGGGGACATATCAGGAAACTTACCTGAGTGGGTAGGTTGGTGGAGCTGGCCGGATACAGGATATAGACCACCGAGACCGGATGGAGCACTTGCGGAGTCTGTGGGTTCCAGAGTAGGAGACTGTACGGCCGCTGTAGCTGCTGTTGCTGGTACCGCAGTCGGCAGTCCACCATTGCCAGCAGGACGGGTGTCGGGACAGTCCCGGACAGGAGTTGGAGAGCGGCGGACGGCGGGTTCACTGGCGCCAGCTGGATGGTGCTGGAGGAGTCTACCGGCGGAGCTGGGAGGACGTCATAGGAGTTCATCGGTAGACTTTGGACGGTGGCGGAGGAGTCCAGTGGGAGTCCTTGGACACCGCTGGAGCCGGTCGACAGGAGCAGGAGGGTGTTGGCCGCGTCCATCGGGCACGCTGAAGCAGCCATCTCTGATAGTGCGCTCCGGCAGTGTGTCCGGACGCACTGTCTTCGGATCAGTACGGCAGGAGGATCATCCCGGAGTAGGATCGGTTCGGCTGTAACGGACACACACTGATGGGTGAGTAGAGGAGCGGGACAGAAGGTGGGTGATGAGATACCAGCGGGGCAGTAGTCACGTGGCACCAGGGATGCACTAATGGCACACTGATCATGCACACATGCATAACGGGGTACACAAACAAAACGAGTGACAGGCCGTTTATGAGCGATGGCCGACCCACCTGAACGACCGACACACCCGTCTGTTTTCAGATCCCCGCGGACGTCCACCTGCTCCGGCACTGACACTGACACGGACACGGCGGGACACACGGCGGCACCGGCAGGGAGACACGGCGTGGGCAGTGCATGAGGTGTGGGCCGGGGCGGCGCCGGCCGGCGGTCCCACGCTGCATCACGAGAGGAGTTCTAAGAGAGCCGCCGGCCGGCGACACCCGTCAGCTCTCACCGAACACACGGGCGGGGTAAAGGCGGGGAGAGATGGGGTGATAGGGGAAGAGGGATAGGGCATACGTTACGGAAAAGAGGGTACAGGGTTAGATAGAGTCCATGACTCTTGGACTCTGGACAGGGTACTGAGTACGGGACGGGATACAGAGACAGGGATGGAGATCATGGCATCCGAGACAGAAGACACCAAACAAAACATTTACGAGGAAAACAATTTTCACCCAAATAAAGCAGCCTGACCCAAAGCACGGAACTCGACTTAGAGAGTCCAAACAAGAGTAGCGGAGCGGTCGAGCATCACCGGCGGCCAAATTATGAGTAAGGGCATAAGGAATACTTTGATCGGACTGGTCAAACGTCCAGAGGGCTAGCACAGCAATGAACCAAATACAGCCGTCCGCAAACGCCACCAGCGCTCCACCGGGCGATATGAAAACTATGTCTTCCCAAAATACCGGAGAAAGCAGAATTACAACAACATCGTGTAGCTTTAAACTTACAGGAACAGAGCTTGCACTAGCCATAGTTAAGTCGAATGCGTGATGAAAGCCATGCTCTTTGCATGTCTTCCAAAGTGTGACGAAACCGGCTGAGCCTCGTGTGTTTTGGATCACAAGAGGTACGGTAGGCTGGTCGGTAGGTCGTGCAGTGAAACTAATTTTGTTTAGAAACCGGATTAACACATTTGGGGCAATATAAATACTTTATGAAACTGCATGCAATGATGTATGAGAATGCATGTAAAACCTAACAAACCCGCTGTTCCAAAGCATTTAAGGTCCATCTGCAGCCCAACCACTCTGTGAAACCCAGATGGTAGACGACTTGAGGTAAGCTAGGTTTCAACTATAAAATAAGGGGAAATGTCTGAATCAAACTAGCGCAAAAAAATGAACTCCAGCCATCCTGAACCTGAAAAATTCAAGCAGTGTGACTAAATGAAAAATATCTCTTAAAAATACTGCTGGAATGATCTGGCTCGAATCACTGGAAAATGTGCGACCAAGTGGCCGACCGTCGATGCTGTCAGCTCCCATCACGACTTGTCAAGTCACAGCGTGACAGTCCCGCCCCGGCCGCGTTCAGAAAACCACCGCACCGCACGCATTCAGTTCTGACGAAACCAGCCACCGCCGACCGCAACTCCAATCAGAACAAAGACAGCAGACTGTCGCTACCACGTCATTTCGTCTCTGTTTGCACCCGTAATCCGGCCAGAGGCCGGCGGCACCTCTGCAAATCTGTGTCGCCACGAATCTGTCCCCAGCTGGTTTCGGCGCAGGGAGCGTGGGAAAGCCACCGGCTTCCGGTCTCGACGGCGGTGGCGATCTCCAGCCGGATTTCTTTCGGCGAGCAGCAGTGCAGCGCCGCACCAAACTGCTCGCCGGACGGTGAATCAGGCAGAGTGGAGATGAAAAAATACAGCGTCCAGCCGCTAAAAACGCCACCGAGCCGCACCGCCGCGCCGCGGCAGTGCGAGTCCGGGCGTTCACAGGACCGGCGCGACATCAACCGTCCGATCAGCGAGCCGCCGATGGGAACCTATAGTAAAGTAATCTTGGATGGGAACGGAGGGTGCTGATCGCTGCTGTATCTCGACAGATGCGCCGCCGTGCTGCAGCGGACCGGCAGCGGGGCCGATATGGCACCGAGCACCGCAGTGGGCCGCCGCTCGGACCAAGGAGCGGACCGGCAGCACGGCAGCGACTGGGACGATACGCACTACAGTTAGTCCGCCGCGCTGGTCGCTGGTCACATCGTGACCAAGCCTCCCACACACTCAGGTGATCGCTGATAGCAGACTGCCCCGCCTCCGCCGGTGACCGACATTTAGACAGGGCGAGGACGGAGGTCCACTGTGTAATGACAAGGGGCGGGCGATCGCTCTGTGGGGGCGGTACAAACGCACCCATCCCGCACATCCAAACCATCGGTCTACTGCCGCCGTGACGGGTAACGGAGGGGGAGGAAGGGAGGGCAGACAGCAGGGAGCAGGGGAGCACAGCAGCACCTGCCCAGATCGATATCCCCCGCGTCCAGTCAGAATGAACGGTGCCGCTAGAGTCGACAACACTACAACGATGGGAGCAGATACGGTATGTTTATGTGATTCCACAGAGTTGTCGGTAACCCGGTGGTCGTCAGTTGGGCATTGTCGGCACCTAGCTGACGGTGGTTCGCAAGTCACCACCGAGTCGCGATCAGCTCACGCACGCTCCCCATTCGCACGGGCGGCGCCCACCGACGGCGGCGGGGGCGCTGCGCAGGGACAGGCCGCCGCGCGGTCCCACCGTCGCCGTGGCCCGGGTCAGGGGTCGGGTCAGCGCGCAGGAAATGAGCCCGCTCTAATAGCCGGTAATTACCAGCGCCGTCGTGGCGGCCGGATTAATCATAAGCTACACCTATTCAGGGAGCGGGCGCGCGCCGCGCCGCGCAGAGGCGCAAGGTCGGGGCGGCGGCGGCGGCGGCAGCGAGGTGTTCTCACACGGCCACGTGGGAGCGGCCGGCGCACGGAAGCACGGGAAAACGGCCGACGCCACGGCCACGGCCGGCCGCCGAGAGGGGTGATGACCGGCAGAACGTCGCCACCCCACGCCACCCCCGGCGGGCGCCGGCAGTGGGTGCTACCGGCACGAGCACTGCAGCCCGGCGCAGTGCAACGCACGGGACCGGTGAGGGTCGGGAAGACGCCGAAAGAAATGTTTCTGGGCTACTAAAGTTTATCCGGATCTGATTGCAGCTGCTGCTGGAAAGTCCAGTAGCTGAGTCACAGTTAATTCAGTCCCCTACCCGAGAATTTCACATTGGAGCACCTCCGTAGGCAGTTAGAATCCCATAGCTGTAACGACCTAGTAAGCGTAAGAATCCACACCGATGTTTTCTTTCAATCTACAATCCTGAAGCTTGCCTATCTGACATACCTCCCAAAGAACAGCGTGAAATGAGACAAGTAAAGCTACCATCCTTCAGTTCACTACACGACAAACTCCCAAACATCAGCGTGAAATGAGAAAAACAACCCAGAGACATTTCAGCTGTGGTGGGCTAAACAGAGAGGCCATCCCATTCCACGCCTTCACGTTGTGCCGGTGGTGCGAACCACTTCGTTCAAATTCCCCAAGACATCTTTCATTTAGCCGGCAGAGCGCGTGAAATGTGTTAACCCACCAGTGATGCCAGTCGGCGGCCGACAGATTCTCTGTGGAACCGTCACGGATCGCATTTGATCCATCCTTCCTCAAACATCGTCACGGGACGATTCCATCACCGCACCGCTTCTAAGCCTGGCACTGTCATTAAATTCGAAGAGGGGTCTCCGCTGGCCTGCCGGCTTCCAGGGCCAAAATCTCCTCGCTAGGGAAAAATTCATAATCATGCATGTGTCACTAAGAAGCATATGATCTGCAAGGTGGCAATGGAACAGGCCCAGAGACGAACGCCTTTCTAAATCAGTGTAATTGTTTACGGGTACCGTGATTGTACCAGGCTGATGAGTAGCCACTTTGACAAATGACAGGAAGTGCTGGCGAACGGGTGGCACGCACTCCTGAGAACGGCCGGCTACCGTGAGAGCCTCCCGCGAGCCGCTTCAAATACCGTGGCCGCGCCGCCACCCGACCCGCTGCGGGTCCAACTCTGCGGCGAGTCACCTGAGCCTGAGCTTGGAAGCCTGAGTCATAGCGAGCCGTTTCGGCGATACTGTCGACAGGCGCTCCGGTGTGCGCTGTCGAGTGTCGACCACAGTCCGCACACTGGGCCACGTCTTCATCAGACTTTCATGGCGTCATCGGTCACCGTACAGTGTGACGGCCGGGGCTCTCCGTCATCATTCCGACACAGACAGCGAGGTTTCGTGACACAGACACCGCCGGGGACATTTCGGCAGACCGACGGGTGGCGTTCAGTTATTGTTTGGGTGCGGGGTGAGCAGCAACGCTCACAATCGCGTGGACGACAAACGAACGGAGATACACAGAGACGAGGGGAAATGGCCTCCAACGGAAATCGCACTAGTCGGGCACGAAACACTGAACACTACAGTCGACACAACAAAAGACCATCACCGCCGCCACCAGAAACATACACCGGCAAAGACCCGAGTTTGACTTACCTGAAAACGATCAGCAGTTTATCCGTGCTAGCAATCTGCAACAAACAATATACAGTCAGTAGCTCGTTAACAATACATGCTGCATAAAAACATCCTTGCTTTAGATGCCACAATTAACAAACTCTGCGTCGTGTCACACCAGAGAAACCCAGGAAAGACAGAAGCATGAATAGTCAGCGGCGGTGGCGGTGGCGACGGCACGGCTGATGGCGCAAACACTCTGCGATCTGTCATCCCTCTCCGCGGAGCCGTCACCGCCGTCATCACGCCGCCGGGACAGAGGGACGGAGAGTGACGAGTGACGCCGCCACAAATACAGCATGTGGTGACGGTCGGCGACGGAGGCACCCGGTGACACACAGAGAGCAGCGCGCTGCTCTCTGTGTGTCACCGGCGTCCTTCCGCGCTGCAGCGGAAGGATGGGACTCAGGTCCAAATGGGGACGGGGTTCTATCTCAGAAATTGGCTAACTCTTTTGGGCTAACTAGCCCAAGTAGTGTTTGCAGGGGATTTGCCATTTTTTAAACATTTTTTTTTAATGTTTTTTTACACAAAGAGAGTAGTTAGTCAAAAATCGAAATTATGGCAGATCAGCACTGGCCTTGACAACCACACATCACTGGCAGATGGAGAAAGCTTCGGTTTCAAACAGATTCACATGAAAGTAACAGCATGTTATTACATTAATGTTTGGCTCCATCCTGATCATTCCCTTACCCATGATCCACCCTAAAATACGCCAATATTGATCAGTTTCCTACCGACAGCCTTTATGACGTCACCCACCCAGCTGAGCCCAGCCACGCGCCTATGTCAGAGACGGACGGTGGGACGAAAGGCCCGACTCGGGGCGGTTTCCGCCGCCACCGTTCCCCGGGCGGAGGACCGTGAGATCGGGAGCGCCGGTTCAGGGTCAGGGGACGAGTCGGGTTTGAACGGAGAGCGGCCGTTACTGGGACTGAAACGACAGTGGACGCGGACCGCGGCGACGACACCTGGCGGAGGCGCGGACAGGCGGACAGGGGGCGCCACCGTCAGCGGCAGGTACGGACGGTACCGGCTGCCGACAGCCGCAGGTACTGGTACACCGGTACAGTCACCAAGCAAGTACCGATACCCTTCAGCTGCAGGTACCGGTACCATTAGCTTTGGGGAATTACCGGTACCTAACTACTCTTAAACTGGCAACGGTATCGACACAGTCACCTTTAGGGATAAGTATTTACCGGCACCATTTGGCTTCAGGTACCAATACATTCAGCGATGGTGTATGACACTACGGTAGATACCTGCTAACGCCAACAGATAACTAGTCAGGCTACAATGGCGAAAAAGTCACAATTGAATGCTGGAAAGAGCATCCTGAATTGAGCTTGGTGGCGAAAAAGTATAATGCTAAGGTGAAGACAGGTACGATTCTTGAAAAGCATATTGAACCATTCAGATTAAATCATCATTAGACTTCCTGTAAGCAGCCAGCTGCATGAGGATGAAGCTTCAGGTTCCAGTCACTATAATCAATAATGCCAGACTAAAGACAATGTGAGCTTAGTGCCAAAGTACATCATAATTCATGAAAAATGTGGTATTTCACATTATTAATCAGCTTTTCAAAGAAAACCTCAAGCCTGAACATTAAATCACTCCAAAACACCCATTACAAAGAAAATGAAGAACAGTGATTTTGTAGGTATGTGCCTAGGTGAGCCTAGGTGCCTAGGTGAGTACCTATCTTTGGGAGAGGCTTAAACAACAACAAACATTAGGCCGTGCGCGACTATGTGCGCACGTTAAACTTTGGACTCCAAATTCCGTCATTGAGCCGGAATTGCCTTGCGCGATCGGAGGGTAGAGGGCAGGGTCACCGCAACAAGCTTCGCTTCGCAGGGGCTCTGTCCTTGTGAATCCTTCCAATCATTAGGTTCGGATTAAATTTATATAAAAAAACTGCCATTACAAACATTCTCAGATGTGAAACAAAAGGCAGCCAGATTTGCCTTCTGAAGAAGGTGAAGAGTGTCACCACACCACCAAAGAAGGGTTACCTTGTATTGTAGGCAATGAGGCCTTTGCTTCTTTTGATGACAATTAGCAATCTGTTTAACATCTGGCATGCATGAAAGCACCTATTGCTCGGTAACCAATTTCTATCAACAGGTTTTCGTTATTCAGAATGGACTCCAGCATGAGCCTATACTTGCTGAAGCTTCTTGCACTGCCAATGGTGAAAATTATTAGCTTTAAACCTCATTCACAAACGATTTGAACCCACATGCTCTTGTGAAAACTAGGCTGTCAAGACAGCACCAGCCAAACAGTGCTTGGGACGCAGATTAACCCTCGCCCCGTTGGGGGGGGGGCCATTTCGGCCCCCCCCCCCTGTGGTCTTTCCTGAATAGCAAGAAAACGGCGGCGCGCAGCGCCGCCAAATTTTCAGTACCTTTCCGGGCATCAATTTGACACCTTCACACCAAATTTCAAGTCTTAGGTCACCTTAGGTCAGGAGTTATTGAGGTCAAACTGTCATGTTCGAGCAAAAATGAGCAAAAAACATGCAATCTTGAAGCGCTCACCAAATCTACAGTTATCAAGCAATTTCAAAGTTCTTTATATGGTCTAATAGACAAAAAGCGGCGCTACAAAAATGCTATCTCGGATTTTCAAAATTTTGGGTTTTTGACCAAAAAAAATCCAAAAATTGATTTTTTTAGAAAAACTAAAAAAAAATCCAAAATTTTTCCGAATTTCGAAAAAAACCGGAATATATGTGATAGTCCCTGCGCTCTTCTATATACATACCAAATTTCAGATCGATATCTCGTTTTTTGGCCAAGTTATAGCGAAAAAACTGTTCAAAAATGATGACGTCAAATTTTTGAACTCAATTTTTAGCGATTCTAGACCTCGTACGGCAAAACAAAGACCACCATTGAACTCCCCGTGACGAGCTGCATCGATTCGATACCCATTTTATGCAAAAATGTCAACTTTGAAATTTGACCTTATTTGACCTGACCTTGACCTGACCTTGACCTGACCTTGACCAAAACGTGACCTAAGCTGGCCCCAAAGGCTGCCTGACCCACATAATCGCATTTGTCATGTAAAATGGACCATAAAACATGTATCACACGACACTTTCATATTGTGACCCCCCAGTGACCTGACCTCAGTGACCTGACCTGGTATCAGTGACCTCAACTAGCAAAATATGTGTTTGAAGAATATTTCCCCATCGATGATTTTCAATGAAATGCATTTTACTCGATTTTACAACGCATTTCTTGAAATGCCTGTAAACGGTGAAAATTGGACCTTTGACCTGACCTGTGACGTCATCGGTTTGACCTAGGTCGATAAAATTGGGTCACAAGGTAGTTCCCTGATAGGGCTATCCAACACCGTTTGCCGCTTGTCGCTACGTTGCGTGGTTCTCGAGATCTTAGGGGGGGCCAAAATGCCCCCCCCCAACGGGGCGCGTTGCTCGGCAGAGCCCAACGGGGCGCGGGTTAACATCATAACTATTGCAAAGCTCAGAAGCTTAGAACAGGATATTATATTCTCACAATATGTTTTGATTCATCAGATAATACTCTAATAAGCTTGCTCCTTTATTGAAGCTTTTGATCATGCCAACTACAAAGGTCATTTTACACTCAAATGGTTTGGAAAAAAGTTCTCCAGATTTCCATAACACAAGTATGACACCAAGCTAAAAAATAGCATCAATATGTGGACAGAGGGTGTACACTGCACAGCGTATTGCAAAAGTTTAAGATCGCGTTTTGTGGATCTGAAAGTATAAAACAAGGAGAGCCAATGCAAAAAAATATCAATGCAAAAATAATTTGAAAAGAATAAGTAAATCAAACAAAACCATGACATCAACTTAAATCTGACTATTTTAGGCTGTCAAATCACTTAGCGCTTTATGAAAAGTACATGTAAAGCCTCAATTCCTTTCAAACACTTTCTGGCTGAAAATTTAATTTTGCTCTCAATTTAGGTACTTTTGTAAATTTTCATTTATCCCCATTGATCATCTCATGCAATCAGCATTTGAGCAATGAAAGTGATCAGCCAGGCTTAACTTATCAGACTATATCAGACTATACAAGCACAAATGCACGATTTAATAGGTGCCATTGCCCATTCATATCGTGATGCGCGCAGCGGAATCCATGTTCTAAAATGTTTAGTTGTCCTCCTTGAACTTAGATCCTAAAACATGCGTTTTCCTCTTGAATTTATGAAAAACAAACTAAAAAAATGACTGAAACTCATTTTGATACTGACATTCAGCGCTTGAGACAATGTGGCGCACCTTCCGGCGGCAAAAACACCAACTATGGAAGATCTTTGCGGGCTACTAAACTGTAATAAACTTGCTGAAAGTACCAAATTATAAGTTCCGAACCTTCTACAGCAATTTATGGCAGTCACTAGAATCACCGACCACGAATAATTGGCAGTGCATTCTCATTCTTACCAGTTCGAAACGCCTCCGGCGCAACTGCCTACACTTCTCTCACGCATATTTCCCATCGGAGCATCAACCAATTACGAAATATTTCTCAGAGATGCCATCGAAAATGTCCGATTCTAGGGCTCATCTGGATCCAATGTTATGAATTTGGCACGATGAATAACATTTTTGATATTTGGCCTAGCATTCAGGCATACGTTTGACTAAAAACCGACAAATTCATGCATTTGAGTCGGTTTTCCCACGGTGATGAATATTTTCCCACGCCCTTTTTCAGCTTAAGAAGCAGAATTGAGCATCAAAAAGGCTCAAATTGAAAATCAAAACAAATTTCAAAATAAGATTTCACTTTGTTTTTACGTTACTGCTCATAAGTATGGATTTCGTTTCGACAAAATTTCGTTATTTAGAGATGCTTCCTGAGTTTCAAGGTCACATACTGGGTGGAGCTGAAATATTTGGAACTGCAGTTTTTAAGTTTCCGAGCAAATCAACGACTGAGTAATAATTTGCTAACCGTTTCGCTACACATTGCTCTCGTCTGACAAAAAGTAGCGAAAAAAAAAGAAACGTTCCATCCAAGTTCCATCTGTCCTTGCCAGCCCCAGAACAAACCCATCAATCAGTTTCCAGATTCCTTACTCGCCGACTACCCTTGGCCGTGCTTAGCGGTCATCCCCAGACAACAGGTTGCGAGGACACTGGACAAGGTCTCGTTCGGACTACAGGCCTCTCCGGGATGACCGTTTGAGCGGCAGGACGAGATGTCTACTCAGAGCACTTTCGCTACGCGGCGACGGTCTTCGTGGCTGCGGCGCACGGGTGGGCGACGCCCACCCGTGGCGTCCGCAAAGTCCAATGTCTACGCCCTATCTCATCACCCTGTGGCTCTGCAATGGCTTTTTTAGGTCGAAAGAGTTTGAAGAGATTGCTCTCCCAAACGACTCTACCCAACCTAACCCTCCACTCGAGGCTAATGCGTAAACCATAACCTCGTCTGTCAACTCTTGCCGCTACCTGTCGCTGCTCTTGCTCGAGACGATTGTTGGCTGTCTTATCAGCTGCCCGACTGCTCTGCCTTTATGCATACAAAAAGACGTGCGACTCTTACGATTTGTGTCACACATACTCGTGTTTGACAACATCGCTATACCATACATGAACATTTATTGGCCTATGGTCGCATTGCCACCCTTGCATATTTCACACCACATGAACCATTGCCGACGATTCGCCGTTTCAAAATATATCTCCTTGCTGTGAGCGCACCCAGTCGGCACGGGTGGCTCTCCCGGCCCTCCCGTTGCGGTACCGAGCTCAGGGTACAGTGACCGACGGGACCGCCTGTTACCTGGCCGGGCCACGGACCCGACAAACCAACACACGGCCGCCAATCACAGTCGGGCTGGCACAGTCAGAGCTAATCAGAGTTACCGCGAGCACAGTCAGCCGATCGGAGCTACCGTGAGCACACTGTCAGCCAATCAGCTACCGCGAGCACATTGCAGGCCAATCAGAATTACCACGAGCACATTGCACGATAATCAAAGCCGAGGAGAACATTCAATTGGCAAGGAAACACATCGCAATTTGTCGATAAAAATAAACAAGCGGCTGGCAATACATGAAACGCGTTTATCTGTAGAACATATGTATATCGGCGTTTGAACGGCGTGAGCAGACTGCAGGTGGCCGATCACTGAGGTCACCAGTCGTATCAGTCGTCTGCCGAGTGCTGAGCTCATGACGGGATCGGTCCCGGCCGCCTTCATCTGCCCCACGGATTTTCGCTGCCAATAATTCCACAGTTAACCGCCCACCAAACTCGATCGCATTCAGTTCGAATTAGCAGAGAATGATCAGTACGGGACACTCCAATACACTTGAACTTAGCTTCTTACAACACAACTAAATAGGTTCGATTCACTGATCCCGGAACGATCGTACTACCACAATTTAAATAATCGGCAGCGGCGCGGTAAGTTAATCTCCCTCTCTAAAGCTTAATCAGCAGTTTTCCTAGGCCCAATGGAACTCTACATATATATTTCCCTAGAAATCCTGCTACTTTGGTGTCGCACCTTCCGCAACCCTAATGTGCCTCCGCTGATCGGCAGGTTACCGGCAGCTCTGAGGTAGGCCGCTTACACCACAAAAGCCAGAGTCTGAGCAAGATAAATACACATCTGAGCCTCCCTATTCTGGGCCGATCCGTCCAAGTCCGGGCGGCTCGGAGAATCGGCTGACCAATCATTGACCAATCCCAGGCGTGTCTAGTCGGCGACACAGAGTAAAACAGAGTTCCCATTGCTCGACATAGCAGCACAGACACATGCACTGCGATAAGGCCGCCCCACTGAGACCCACGGTTTGCACTGACACATCAGCCAGGTACGGAACCACCGGCGGCTGACGGCGCGGCGCGGCGAGACCCTAAAACTAGCCACCCACGTAATCAGCTCTCCAGCTAAGACACAGATGATCCCGTACTCGAGACATGGCGAGAGTCTGGCTCAACCCCACCCAGCCCTACGAACACACCGGACCCTGCCTTGAGCGGCGCTCCCGGAGAGCGACACCCCCGCCATCTACTGACGGCGGATCACACTGTAGCTCGGCCGCCGGCCGCGGCGTGGCGCTGGTGTCACTCGGAGCTGGTGCCCGTGTCCGTCTCGGGTACGTCGCTGCCAGTGGCGCCGGCCGGCAGACCGGCGGAGGTCGGAGCGGCGGGCGCCGTACTCTCCAGCGTGCTGAGCGCCTTGATGACCTCGGCGCGCTGCGGCTTGCTCAGGTGCTGGATCAGGTACAGCACCGTCTCCGACGAGATCTCCGGGTGCGCCTGCCGAACGGTCAGCAAGGTCAGATATCGGGTCAGGTGTCTTAGCGTGTCGTAAGACGTCAATTAAATCAATTTTACATCACTAACCGGGTCATGTTCGAACTGCCACGGGGTTCCTACTACATTATTCTACAAGTTGTTGTGTTAATCCGGCTCCGAAAACTTCTGACTAATGACGCATTCTACGCCATATTCCCGGAGAGGTGGCAATGGACTGCAGAAAAGTGAGTCACATTTTTCTCATCCAGTCCACTCGCCTCTCAGTAGGCTACTCTCATCTAGCTCAATCCGTTATATTGCCTCACCCTCTCACCGTCTTCATTTCCTCGCATCTTCTCTGTATGCCTCTGCATTTGTTGGGATATTGTGACCGCGGACCGGTCGTGCGGGGCCGAGGCGCGGGCCGGGCCGGCGGCTCGGCCGGCCGGCCGGCGAGCCGCCTGACCGCCGCGCGGTCACCGCGCATGCGCTCTGTGCCGTGGTTATATAAGGGCGCGACCGTGACCGGACTGGGTCAGTCGGCGGGTCGCCGTGTCCGTGCTTGGTCTTCGGTCGCTGGAAGCACAATACACCGTGTCGTGGTATATGCAGCTTTACTTGGCCCTAACATATTTTGGCGCGGTCGGTAGGACGACGACGGGTGCGTCTCGATCATTTTGACAAATGTTGGGTCTGAAGAAGTCCGTGTTCTCAGAGGCAGTGACCTAGGGACATTTTATGATGCTACAAACGAGAAGGACTGCGAGTACAAGTTGTGCCTGGCTGCAGACGGAGGCGTTGAGGACAGTGATGATGATGACGTTGATGATGTGAGCTGCAGAACAGAAAGGCGTCAGAATACGACGGTGACAGAAGTACTTGATGTGGACGGATCTGACTTCTCAGCGGAAGGAAAGGAGAAGCTCAGAAGTCAGAACCATTCTCAGCGAATATGCAGACATCTTCAGTCAGTATGCGGGTGATATCGGCAAGACAGATTTGCTCGAACACCACATCGACACAGGGGAGGAGGCTCCCGTGAAGCAGAGACCACGGCGGGTACCAGTTAAACTCCGCGAGCAAGTCGAGATGCAGAAGACGCAGATGATGAAAGATGGAATAATTGAAGAGAGTACAAGTCCGTGGTGCTCCCCAGTCGTCCTGGCCAGAAAGAAAGATGGAAGTTTCCGCTTCTGCGTCGATCTCCGCGCGATCAACAGCCGAACTCGCGGATGTGCGCATCCTCTGCCGAGGGTCGACGAGGCGTTGGATACCCTAGCGGGGGCAACGTGGTACACGACGCTCGACATGGCGACCGGTTACTGGCAGGTCCCGCTGGCCACAGAGGACCGAGAAAAGACGGCGTTCTCCACGGGCAAAGGACTCCATCAGTTCAGGGTGATGGCCATGGGTCTCAAAAATGCTGGAGCCACATTCCAGCGACTCATGGAACTGGTGCTTGCAGGTCTGGACTCGAAACGCTGTTTAGTCTACCTTGATGACATCATCATATCAAGCAGATCCGAGGACGAGCACATCGCAACGCTCCGTGATGTCTTCAAGCGAGTGAGGTCGGCGAAGCTGAAGCTCAAACCAGAAAAGTGCCGCCTCGCAAAGCGCGAAGTTACGTTCCTCGGTCACCGGGTCGCAAAGGAGGGACTCCTACCGGACCCACATAACATCCAGAAGATACTCGACTGGGCTCCACCGAAGACGGAAGATGGCATGAAGAGCTTCCTCGGATTGTGCGGATATTACAGCCGTTTTGTCCCACAATACATGGATCTCACGAAGCCGCTGAGGGAAGCCAAGGTGGTGGGTGACCACCTGACGTGGACGCCAGAAGCTGAAGCAGCTTTTGAGAGTCTGAAGCAGGCGCTGACTGCACCTCCAGTGTTAGCCCTCTCTACGTTCCGTGGTACATTCGTCTTGTACACGGATGCATCCGACTCTGCAGTCGGTTCAGTGCTCGCGGAGCGGGTGGGTGACACGGAGAGAGTCATCGCCTACGACAGTAAGGTGCTGACAAAGCAACAGCGCAGATGGCCAACATATGATAAAGAACTCTGGGCCATCGTTCACGCCATCCGGCGATTCAACCAGTACACAGTTGGAGCAGAATTCGAAGTCGTGACCGATCACAAACCACTCACAGGTGTACCGGAGTCCATCAATGTGGAACGGGACGGGACGGGAAGACGTGGCCGGTGGGCCATCGAGCTGAGCTCTTACCAGTTCCGGGTGGTTGTCCGGCCGGGCCGTGATCACGGCAATGCCGATGCGATGTCCCGGCAGCGACCAGTCAACGGCAATATCTGGACGGGCAAGCGCAGCAAGTCTTACCCCGCCGAAGCCGGTCAAGCACCCGTGCATACCGC